TAATCAAGTTTAGACAATAAAGAAAAAAAATTTGAATACCTTCAAATCTAAAGTATTACTAAATGCAGTAAAAGTATTTTGGAGAAAATACATACACTCTCTAATAGATTGTAATATATAAGTATTGTATAAGTTTGACCAAAAAAAATATTATATAATGGAGATAAATATTTTTTATTAAACCAGAAGTTTAAGGAATATAACATAGTTTGGTATGAGCTGGTTAGACCATTCCGGTTCAAGAAATATGCAGAAATAATTAATAGGTCTATAGACATTCATTGAAGAACTTGAGATTCTTCCCAATGATTTTGTCATATGACAAATATGATATTATGATCTTCACTAGCCAAAATAGATTTGAAATCTATTTTATTTCCTAGAAAATTTACAAGGAAATATTTGTGGTTAAATAATATATTATATTGAATATCTGCAACTTGAAGTTTGCTAGATACCTTGGTAATGTTAGTGAATTTATTTCTCAAGCCTTTGATGATAAAAGCATAAGGATATATTGAACATCCAATAGAAAATATTTATACATAAAAATCTAGTAGTATTGATTCGCATATAGCCAAAGAGTAATCAATATTCTCCCATTAAAATTGGTTTTGGGTCAGAAACCAAATATTTTTCATCTAAAAGATTTGGATGTGCAGTATACATATACATTGCTCCACCACATCAGTATAAGATGGATCCTCAAATAAGGTTGAGAAAATATGTTGGATACAAATCTCCAGTGGTAATTAAGTATGTAAGCCATACATGAAGGATATATTTTGGCTTGATTTGTAGACTATCAATTTAATATGTCAGTTTTCCAACATTAGGGGGAGAAAAGAATCAGCTGGAAACGATAAGTTGGAATGAATTATCATTGATCCTCAGACTAAAGAATGTGAATTAAAGTCCAAAAGATAATTCATTTACAAAGTTTAGTAAATCAGTTGCCAGAAACATTTACTGATCCAAATAGAGTGACAAGATCACATATTAGCTATAAAGGCTCCAATAAAATTTAATGTTCCAGAAGGACAATATCAAGCTGCTAAAGAGTTTAAAGAACGTATGAAGCATGATAGACTTATTGGTTCCAAACATCCTCAGAAAAGAAAAGGAGCAGAATTTGACAATGGTCAGACCGATGAGATAGATTTTGAATGATCTCAAGAAGAGACATTAAACATGACAAGAAATAAAGTCAGGTACATGAAACAATAAAGAAATCGATCTCAACAAGTTATGTCATGTCTAAAATAAAATGAAACCGAAAAACAAAACGACATCGTAAATATTTTTGCATGCAGTGTAGTAGTTGATATGATAAATGAGAAAGAGGATCATGAAATCTATTGCAAAGTGTACACAAAGATATGACTGGACAAATTATAAAGAAGCAATAGTCATATAATTAAAATCTCTTAGAAAGAGATGAGTATTTGGACCAGTTGTCCATACACCTAAGGTTGTAAAACCAGTGGGATATAAAACAGACTTTATATGAAAGAATGTTAAATATAAAATTAAATATGAAGAGACAAACTCTTTTGTGATGGATGCAACTGGTTTCAAGTTCCTTATCAGTCTGGCAATAAGAGAAGAACTTGACTTATACTACCCACTGGATAATGAAACTGAAATAAAATCCCAGAAGGATACAAATTTCCGAAGGATTAAGATTGTCAAAATTATGTTCCTGAAGATTCTAATTATTCGATCGAATTAAGACAAAACGTTTTATATGGTATAAGTGAATATTCTAAGGTTAACCAATATACCTAAATGTATTTACCAAAGATTATGATCAAGAGAATCCTAGATTTGAATATAATCAAATCTCTTGAAGAGTTATCCCAAATTGTAATTTGTAAGAAAAATCTTTGGAAAAGATGATCCTTGAAGGGTTTTACATAAAGAATACTCACAATATTTTTGATCCTGAAGTACAATACTTCAGTTGCTAGCTGAGCAATGTATAGATATATTCCATAATTGAAAGATGTGATTTAGTATAACAAGAAAGAAAGCTAAAATACTAAAGAAGAGCATGAATGACACTTATGTATAAGTATGTTCCATACAAGTTTAGAATGCTGTAAGTAAAACGAAGTTTGTATTTAAAGTTCAAAAAGACAAAGAAATGGTTGTTTATATGAAAAAGTTGTTATGGACAAGAAGTCTGATAACTTAAGAGATTATAAGATAATTATATAAATTTATTCATTAAGCTTGTACTTATAATGATTGCCAAAAGATGATATATATGATTGGAATGCATCTCCTAAAGAAGATACTTCCAAGGAGGAGAAATATGATGATGTGTTGTACTCTTTTTCCTTACCATAGTTTTTATCCCTTTGGGTTTTTCCATGAAAGGTTTTAATGAGGCAACAAAGAACACACAAATGATAGACATCTAAAAGAGAAATTTAAAGATGAAAGTTTATCACCCCTCCAAAGCATTTATCATATTTTAATAAGATCAAGTAAAGAGAATGATCAAGATGAATCATTATCAAGAGTCATGCATTGCAGAAGTTAAAATTCAACAGACAGATTTGCCAAGACGTTACTTTCAAGAAGTTATTTCATTATACTGGATTGGGTCATCTCAAAGATTTCAAGTGATGTAGTCATGAGAGGGAGTTAATGCGCGCTACACTCTTTTTCCCTTAGCTATGGTTTTTCCCATTGGGTTTTCCTAGTAAGATTTTTAACGAGGCAGCATCATACGTGCTTTAAAAAGCAATTTGTATAATGAACATCAAGGAGAAGTGTTATGAACTTATGTGATATCCATTATAAGCCCATAAGGCCCACATTCTAGAAGGTTCTAGGGTTACTTATAAACTAGGTTTTACTTTGTCACCAAGTAAAATCCTCTCTTTGTACTCTTATATAAATGACTATTTATTCATTGGAATGATACAATATCGATTCTTTCTTTTTCTTCTCTCTATTCACAACAATCTCCAATATATTTTTATATTTTTTCCTCTAAAATACAGGTGAATTTCTCTCTAACCTATTATTATTTTACAGGAAAAAAAGAAGATTGTTGCGTTTTTTTCTCCAGTTATATGTAATGTCGTGTAACATGTTATTCAGTACAGTATCTACAAAGAAATTTCAAGAAATTCATCAAAAGGTAATGTTGTGTAACTTGATTGATTCTCCTTGGCCTACGATCGCTACAAGGGAATGAGAATGTTTTTATTTTGCATTAATTTCCAAAAACATTTACATCCAATAAGTAGTTTTGTAAGTTTTTACTCCGATTTTTTAATGGATTCGTATAATTGGACCAAATAATATACCTATCAGAAATATTTTAATTTGGTTAAAAATTAAAATACTAAAGTTAAAATATTATAATTACATTAACTTGATTAAGAAGTTAAAACGATCAACATCAACTAAAGTTCTACTTGATAATTTAGATAATTAACCAATCAAAAATATAGAACCTACTCGAATATATATTTTAGTTGTTATATCTTATAATATAATACACTAGCACATACTATCTATGTTCCTAATTAATGTTTTGGAGTTTTTACTTAAGAAGACAAATTAAAACATCATTATAAATGCATTATTTTTTGTGATTAATAATTTTTTTTTATAATTTTAAATCAATAGCAATTCAATAAATTTAATAAATTCTTTTGAAGTTTACAATTCTTCATCATTAACTAAGAAAGAATACATTGAAAATTAAAAACCTCTATATTTGTAAAAAAAAAAAAAAATACAGAAAATCGTACCTTTGAAACAGAGAGAATATTATATTAATTTATGATATATTCTCTAATTTTCGATAGACTGTTTCTGTTGCAAACTATCTACTTTCTTGTATTGTCTCTTCTAGCAAATTTACATTCAAAAAAGACAATAGAAACATCAAGTTGTGTCGAGGACCATTGCTTTTTCGGAACAAGAATAAGGAATATAACGAGCAACTTGACTGAAACAAATTAAGGCCTGGAAAGAAGGTGTCAACAAAATCTATTCCTTAGTGTTCACGCTCAGTCTAGCAAAACTAATAAGCATTATAGGGTACATTATTTTTTTGGATCCCTTCATTAAATGTAAACTTAAAGTTCAAGTCTTCAACCCTAAATTATATTATAAATTAAAGTTTGGCCCCATGTTCTAATATTTCTCATAAATTTTTTTAAAATAATGATAATAAGTTGAGCACTTAAAAAAAAAAAAAAAAAAAAGCACTGGAGGTTTCATACTTGTGGCGTATTTGATCATGTTGAGTATATAGCCTTCAACTACTAAACCGTATATCGGTATATGCATGTTATTTGACTTTATATATTCATTTACGGCTAAATGTTGTATTTCCTTTAAGAAATGGGATCAAGTGTTATTTCTCTCTATATAAGTTTAATATTCATAGACTTCTTTGTCTCCCTTAAAGTTAGAGGTTTATAAATTTGAATAACTAAATCGACAAAAAAATTAAGTATCTTGGAGTTAGTTTGTACTCTTAAAGAAGATGACGGTTTAGGTTTGAAAAGGCTTGCAAACTAGAACAAAATTTTTGATCTTAAGTTAATTTGATTCATCATCATCAAGAAATCTCAAGTTAAAGGTTTATACCAAGCTAATAGTCCAAGCTGTTTTTTACGAATCGAGGAGAAAAAGAAAATGAGTCAAACTGCAGACTCTCGTACCTCAAAACAAGCTCCTCAATTGGTTCGAGAAATAAAACAGATCATCTGAACAAGGAAGCTAGTGAGTCTTGATCACACTCTTCATCACGAGCTTCTTCAACATCTTGGGACGTTCTAACGAAGAGCTTTGAGTACAGAGCAGATCCATTTGAATTAGCTGCTCCATTTTGATTCTTTATACTTCTAAGTAAAATGCTTACTATTCTTTTTAACAGAATACTGATAAATTCTACTTATCTTTCATTGGTTTGTAAATATAATATTCTTCACATATATGTACTTCTTCATGACCCTTTCCAAAAGAGTTTATCTTGGACCTGAAGGGTACTCGTTGTCGATGTGGGAAACGGATTCTGGGATGAGCCAATTAATGTCAGCTTGCGTATAGGTTTGATAGTTAAAATCCTGTGTCAACATCTCCTCCTTTTGCCACTCTTCCCATTTCTCAGCTAAACTGTCACCTTCGAGCATTCTCACAACTTCAAACATCTTGGGACGTTCCAACGAAGAGATTTTAGTACAGAGCAGAGCCATTTGAATTAGCTGCTCCACTTCTTTATCCACATAGTTTCCTTCAAGCTCTGCGTCCACAAGACTTTCCAACTTATTCTTTTCCAAAACTTCTTTCACCTAATCAACTAACAAAACAAACTTCTTCACTTTAAAACTGACAATTTTGGACACAGCAAAATGATAGGGAAACCCATTAAAACATACTCAGTTGAGTAACATGATATCATCATCATCTGCAAGCCGAGCAAGATCAAAAGCCTTCTGTCCAATGATGAGCTCAAAAAGCATGACACGGTACCCAAAAACATCAATTAGGGGCTATATGACCAATCGTACCGCGTACAGCAGTTGTCACATGGTAGCCATTATAATTCATGAGCTTTGCAAGCCCAAAATCTCCAACCACAGCTTCAAACTATTCATCTAACAATATATTAGCAGCTTTCATGTCCCTGTGAATGATTTTTTGGTCGCAATGATCATGTAAATATGCAAGCCCCCTTGCTGCTCCAAGAGCAATATGCTTTCTTTTTGGCCAGGCAAGTGCTGGATTGCCTTCAAGATGCTCTAAACAAAACAAATCAAAGATAAGATAATTAACAATCGACACAGCTTAAGGCCAGTCAAAGCAAAACTATATTACAATCAGAAAATTTCAAAACCAGTGGTATGTAATATGCAATCGAAGAAGCTGGAAAGAATAATAACTGTGAGAGCAAAGAATGCAGTATCTCTTAAACAAGAAGCAACACTTCCATTAGCAATATAGGGATAAACGAGTAATCTTTCAGTTGGAGTCATGCAAAAGCTACGAGGCCGAAACAAGTTCCTATGGACAGCCATACTAATCATCTCAACCTCGGTTTGGAACTGCAGTTCCCCACCCTTGGTACGTTCTTCTTTTAGCCTTTTAACAGCCACTAGAGAGCCATCGGCTAAATGTCCTTTATACACTTTACCAAAACCGCCTCTTCCCAATGCATTTTTATTGCTTAAGTTATCTGTAGCAACTAGCAATTCACGGAAGAAAAACCATTTGAGTTGTCCAAAATGAACCTCTGGGTCTTCTTCGGCTGCAGAAATATGGAAAATCAGCGAAAGAAGCTTCAATGGAAAAAGCGATTGAAGATAAGTGACTAACCAGGTACATCAAAAAAGTGGTCCTGTTGTTTAATTCTCAGCCACCAAGCAAGCGCAATGGCTGGACCAGCAAATAGAACTGCTTCACCTGCAGCAGCTCCAATTGCTATTGCTGAGTCGTTTGCTTCCCTGAGAGTATGAGATAAATGCAAAGTTTTCTTAATAGAGAAATTATTAGAAATAACTTGATACCATGAAGAGACTCTAGGGGAATATCATTGATTCATCAACCATGTGGAACGTTTCAGCATATTTGAAAAAGCTAATACATTTTTCCATAGATCTTCATGCTACTCAATTTAGATTTAACAGTGTCTATTAAAACATCTTTTCTGCTTAAGCAAACTAGCAAGTTCACACTTGTTTCATACTTTTATTCTTTTCAGCAATGTCAAAGAACTTTTTTTTCTATTACCAAGCTGTCAAATTCAACTGTGTCAGACTTGGCTTGTTCAACACCGACCAATTGGAAAGTGATATCAATCCTAGTATAATTTTCATTAGCAGGTTACCAATCCTAGTGAAGATATGTCAAATACATAGCAAAAGAGTTATACTTTAAGAATAATACATGAAATAGTTAAACAAATACATAATGACTAAGGCCCTGTTCGTTTCCTTATCTAGGCACTACGTCTGGATACAACATGACGCAGCATCCAAATGTTGTTCGTTTGTGTTTTTGATTAATGTATCTAAATATTGTAACTAGATATATTTATGTTCGTTTGTGTATATGTATTTGCATCTAGATGCACTTAACAATAAAAGAACTAAAAAACGTATTATACCATTTTTTGCGGAAAATAAATTTTCAATATTTTTTTTAAAACAAATCATCTTTAAAAATTTACGGTTTTGGCGAGAAACTGAATTTTATAGTTTTGACGGAAAACATAATTTTATGGTTTTACGATTTTCTAGTAATTTTATTTTTTTGACGGGAAAACGAAATTTTACGGTTTCCCCTTGATTTTACGGTTTTAGCGGGAAATGAAAATTTCCTGTTTTTTGTAATTTTATGGTTTTGGCATAAAAAATGAAATTTTACATGTTTCTCGTAATTTACGGTTTTGGTGGAAAAAAATTAAGGTTTGGGTGGAAAATGGAATTTTATGGTTTTCTTGTGATTTTACAATTTTGGCAGGAAAATAAATTTTAAGGGTTCTCGTAATTTTATGGTTTTGGCGGAAAAACAAAATTTTACGGTATAATTTAAGTTTGTGATTTTGACGTGAAAATATTATTTTGTTGGTATTTTTACTGTTTATGTGTGAATTCTTTATTTATTATTTTATATATATTTGTTATTAATGTAAAATTAAATAAATTATAAATTATTTCAATTATAATTATATATAAAGTTATTTTAGACTTTTTTCATTTTGGATGAACTTTAGTGTATCCAAAATATCTACATATTTGTGATAAACTTCATTATGCATCTAGATAAAAACTAGATACATATCTTAATGGGATTCGTGCAAAAATGACTCAAAAATTGATTTCAATTGCAAATCTAACCTCCAAAATTTGCCACTTTCTCCCAAATAAATCTTTCATAGTTTCAGTTATTCACGAAATTGCCATTGTTTAAAATTTTTTTTTTTTAATTTTTGAAAATCCAAATGACCAACTAATCCTCATCTTCCTCACTTTTTTACGAAAATACCATCATAATCAATTCACTTAACCACCATTTTCAACCAATTTCGAGCTTTAATGGCACCAAAAACTTATTTTTGAGTTTGTTTAGCTCATTACCTTTCTCTTAAGCTTCTATACTTCCATTTTCTCTCTATTTTCTTCACAAAAACTCTATAATTTGACTATTAGAAAGTTGAAGTTCATATATATTTCTATATTCTGGCGAGTTGGTTGTTTTTTGTGGTTGTGTTTCCTTCATGGTGGCTAGAATCGAAGATCTTGACCAGAAAAGAAGCTAAAAACGAGTGGTAAGTCGGATTTCAGTCAATTTTAGTGTTTTTCAATTCTGGGCTTTGAAAGTAGACTTCTCTTGGTCAGAATGAAGTCTAGTAGTCAACGCCCAAGTTAGTTTTGCAATTGATCGCATGAAAAAAGTAGACTTCTTTTGGTCCGAATGAAGTCTACTCTATTTCCTTTGATAACAAAAAAATAGAGTAGACTTCTTTAGAAGGCAGGTCATTTTTGCAATTGACCAACCTTTGACTTTGTAGAGTAAACTTCTCCATGAAAAGTAGACTTCTCGCAGGTAATTTTTGCAATTGACCAAAAAGTCAAAGATTTTTCAATTGCAAAAATGACCTGTGAGAAGTCTACTTTTCTTGAAGAAGTCTACTAATCTTTTGGCAATTGCAAAACTAACACGCGAGAAGTCTACTTTTTTCAGAGAAGTCTACTTTTCTTGTTTTTTTAAAAAAAAATCATTTTTATACAATATATAACGAATTTTTAAGATTTTTGTGATCCTAAGCTTCTTTTAGTAAGTGTTTTTGCTTATGCATAAGTTTTACATGTTTATATTTTATAGTTAAAGTCGAATCAGGTTTTATGTTTTATATGATACTTAGCTTATTAAGAGTAGACGTCTCCAAGAAGTCTACTCGCGAAGTCTACTCGAGAAGTCTACTCGAGAAGTCTACTAAGTAGACTTCATCCGACTATCAGAGAAGTCTACTTATTCAATTTTGATTTCTAATGTGGTTTGGATTTTGTTTTTTTTTTTACATAGAATGGTTCACATACCCGCTGTTTATGGCGAATGGGTGAGGAGTGAATCAATGTGGCAGTTCGAGGTGGATAATAGCAAAGGAGGGCGAATGTTGTTCTTAAGAGATGGTTGCACACATGGTGGGCTTCTTGATGAATGTTGACAAAGGAGGGCGAATAGCAAAGGGGGGCGAATGCTGTCCCTCTGAATCACCTTTAAGCTATGTAAAATTAATGTCTTTAAGAAGTCTACTCGAGACAGGAGAAGTCTACTTCAGAAGTCTACTCGAGACAAGAGAAGTCTACTTGGTTGACAAGTTATGTGATACAAATGGGAGAATATCCCTCTGAATCACCTTTAAGTTATGTAAAATTAATATATTTAAGAAGTTTACTCGAGACAAGAGAAGTCTATTTTGTAGAATACATAAACACACATAATTTGAGATTATGATACAAAACATTCAATGCAATTCAACATTACATAAAAAAACCATCTAAACAAACAAACATTTAAGGATCACTGATTATAAATCTTAAAATTGGCATAAGAAATCACTACTAAACTAAAATCTCTGAAAAATATGTAAGCAACTGAAGTCTGCTTCAGAAGTCTGCTCGAGCAGACTTCTCGAGCAGATCGAGAAGTCTACTCAAGAAGTCTGCTCGAGAAGTCTACTCCAGAAGTCTACTCGGGAAGTCTACTCGAGAATTCTAAACGTTTTGAACCTTCAAATCACTTAAATCCAGCGGAGACAAGCAAGAGCTTTGTTGAGATCTGTAGAACAAAACCATAAATATAAATAAGGTCAGATCTGTAACAATAAGAAAAGAGAAATGTTAAAATTTAGATTTGCAACATAATCTACTATATTTTAAACATTTTGATCTGCAAAAAAATAATCAACAAAATTCAGCTCTGCAACCATAACAAAAGATTAGACTTGCAACAAAATTTAGATATACAACAAAATCTATACAACAACAAACTCAGATCTACAAAAATAAACTTAGATCTACAACAATAAGCTCAAATCTATAATAATAAGCTTGGATCTATAATAATAATCTACTATATTTATAACATTCAAATCTGTAAAAAAATCAACAAAATTCAGCTCTGCAACAATAACAACAAAATTAGATCTGCAACAAAATTCAGATCTACAACCAAATCTACAAAATTTATACAACAATAAACTCAGATCTACAAAAATAAACTTAAATCTACAAAAATAAACTTAAATCTACAACAATGAGCTCAAATCTATAATAATAAGCTCAAATTTGCAATATGAACACAAAGCAAACAAAAAGAGGAATACAAAAACTCAGATTTGTTTACCACTACCATAACCTGCAAGTGAGAGGAGGTTGAATGCAAGATAGAGATGATGGAGAGGATATTGACAGCAAGAGAGGAAGGAGAAGAAATTCATGGCCAGAGAGAGAGAGAGAGAGAGAGAGAGAGAGAGAGAGAGAGAGAGAGAGAGAGAGAGAGAGAGAGAGAGAGAGAGAGAGAGAGGCATTTTTTAGATAGAGAGAGACTTTATTGTTGATACAATTAAGTCAAACTCTCCTTATATAAGTAGAAAAATTTAAATAGTTTACTCGAGAAGTCTACTCGAGAAACCAAAGAAGTCTACTTAGTATTGATTTTTATCCTAATTTATCTATAATGATTTAAATTGACTATTTTGTTTCAATTTTTATTTTTAACATGTGTAAAAAGTAAATATTTGTGTTATGTATCCAATTTTTTTTTATCAATTTTTTTTTTATGATTTTTAAAATTAATTGTAAACATTTTATTAGAGAGTAGACTTCTTAGAGAAATCTACTTAACTTCTCGAGTAGACTTCTCTGGGATAAAACAATAATTGAGGCTGTTGTTTTTTTGTTTGGTCATAAGGGTTAATGTTGTAATTTCACTATCTCTGTGAGTTATTTTTGTTAAACATGCAATAGGGAGTCTAGTTTTACATTTCAACTCAAGTTTTGAATCATATTTAGCAATTCTCCCTATCTTAATTGAACATAAACTAACAACATCTCAAATGTGCATCCAGATATTGTGTCTAGCTTATGAAACGAACAGCACCTAAATGCCTTTCCACATTTTTCAGCTTCTCTTTCAGAGAGTGTACTGATTTAATGTCATACCACTGGAGATATAACCTTCTAAAAAGTATTTTTGTGCCAACCAGAAAAATTATCATAAATGTGTGAGTGCAAGCAAAGGGAAATAAAAGTGAAAATGACATGCTTACCGAGGACCCGGTTTTGTTGAATGAAAAAGACACTGAAAAATGTAAAAGAACCAACAAGAAACACACAGAAGAGAATGAAAAGCAAAAAATGGAGAACCTTTAGGTGATGGTGGTGGAGGAGGAGAGATACGACTAGGTGGAGGGTCAAGAAGCGGCCTAAACCGATTATTGGAAAAACTGCAATAAATTTCAGGCAGTTAGTAACTCATTATGACAAGTCCACTGAGAATAAAACTAGGGACGAGAAGGAAAACCTAATAGGAGTGAACAGCGAGAAGGAACCATTAACAGGAATATCTCCATTGAGTTGGTAGTTTGAGACATCCCTACATTTCAGGATGATCTTTTTTTTTGTCATAACTCAAGATTGCATCAACAAAATTTTTATAAATGAACAGAGTAGTTTAAGAGAGACGAAGTTACACTCACAGAACTTGCACTGACACATTAGTCAAACACCTTGGGATTTCTCCAGATAAGCTATTGTTATTAACACGCCTAACCACGAATTGTAAAATACCATGTCAGTTAAAAGAGTTCAAAATGATGAACAACCAACAAATAGGATTTATCTATTAAAACAATTGGAAGAACAGAAACTAGTGCTATTTTGAAGTCTATCCAACTGCACAAGACTTTTAGAGCAAGGACATTTGTATAATTAGCCTCAATCTACTTCTGAAGCATTTGCGCTACACATGTACACTGAAATTTCTCAATCTATAGGACCAAGCTTGGGGTTATACCAATCGTAAGGCAGGATATTATGAAATGTCTCCTTCACTTTATCACTCTTCTAAAGATGCCAAAATTTCTAAGCACATAGAAGCAATAGTATTCTAGGAAAGAAATACTGCCAAATTCTAAAACTGTAAATAATGAAGCTGCATATTAAAGATGTAAAGAGAAGAAGGAGAGTATATGATACATACAAGAACCGGAGTTTCTCTAGTTTTCCCAGAGACGATGGGATTGAACCACATATTTTGTTCATGTAAAGATCCAAGCTCACTAATTCCCTCAAGTCTCCAAGCTCTTCAGGTATACCTCCAGTAATGTTATTGCTATAAAGCTCCCTGTCATTAACCATTGCTTAATTATCTTTTTGGTAAGAGAATTCTTAGATTTGGAAATTTCTAAAACTACTTTACCTAGTATCCGTGTTATATATCCAGGAATTTTGAACACTATAGTCATAATATAGAAATAAGATACACGAAAGTGGAACCTATATTTCGTAAGCGATTCAGACCGGAAAATATCTCATAGCAGGAACACAAATATGTAGAGTTAAAAAAAACAATAAGGAGAGTATTTTACTATGAGATCACCAGTAGAAAAATACCAGATCAAAACTCCCCATTTACTCATCTAACTGATTTTAGCAGAAGATAAGACAGGGAGAGCTCGAAAATGTTTTTCATAATGCAACAGTTCACATCCAGATATGATCACGTAGTGTTCCAGTAATAAGGCTCGAGAAGCCTAGCTAAAGAAATCTAAAATAGCCTTAACTAACGATCATCAACAATATCAAAATGATTAATTTACAAAATATCTGATTGACCATTGTTTTCATTTCAGATGAATCAACCACAGGAGCGCACATACGTGTTTGACTCCTGAGACAACAATGTTATCAAGAATTGTTTTTTGAAAGCAAATGTACAACTAAAAAGTTCTCCAAACGAAAGTAAAACCAGGACTTTAGCAGATGAATGAAGATAGCTTATGTCTGAACAAGCAAATGAAGAATATGCACAATAAATTTCAAGTCCTTAATAGATTTGGAAGTGGAAATTTAGAGGAAGTACACATGTAAAAATGAATGCTTGTCAAATAAAACATGAATGCTTGTCAAATAATATGGATATTTTTTATTGTTGCTTTTGTACCTCTAGCATGACATGCAGTTCAAAATAGTGAATATTTTTAACCTCCAATTATATGGATTTCGTTGAAAACTTCCTGATGGTTTTACTGTAGTGATCATGTGATGATTCGGATTTACTCAACACAGTGTTTTGGTACTGCCCGAACGATTTTCCAAGAATCTGAACCCATTCTGCGTGGGACAGAACCTTTCAAAGACACAAAACGCTGTCGGTTCCGTTTAAAAAACTTGAAAATAAATCTAAACACTTGCAAAAAATTAACAATTTGCGAAGGGATCATACTGAGACATTAAAAAGAATTCAGTTTCTTCCCCAATAAAAGATCACTGTGTTTGGTTCCCCCTCCATACCTGATATATTCATGTGCTTTGAAATTCATTAAACATTCATACTTGTCAAATAATATGGATATTTTTTCTTGTTGCTTTTGTACCTCTAGCATGACATGCTGATTAAAAATAGTGGATATTTTTAACCTCTAATTATACGTGTTTCGTCAAAAACTTCTTGATAGTTTTACTGCTGTGATCATGTACTGATTCAGACTTACTCAACCAAGTGTTTCGGGAACGCCCGAACAATATGCAATTAATTAGAACCCGTTCTGTTTGGGACAGAACATTTTTCAATGTGCCGACCAACGTTCGGTTTCGTTTAAAAAACCTGAAAATTAACCTAAACCCTTGTAAAAAAAATAACAATTTGCAAAGGGATCATACTAAGACATTAAAAAGAACTCAGTTTCTTCCCCAATAAGCGATCACTATGTTTGGTTCCCCTTTCATACCTGATATGCGTATGCTTTGGAATTCATTAAATATGCATGCTTGTCAAATAATATAGATATTTTTTATTGTTGCTTTTGTACCTCTAGCATGAGATGCTGATTCAAAATAGTTGTTATTTTTATCCTCCAATTATAAGGGTTTCATCAAAAACTTCTTGATGGTTTTACTGCCATGATAAGAACATTGAAAATAAACAAAAACCCTTGCACAAAAATAACAATTTGTGAAGCGATCATACTAAGACATTAAAAAGAGTTCAGTTTCTTCCCCTATAAGAAATCATTGTGTTTGGTTCCCTTTCCATACCTGACATTCATGTTCCTTGGGATTGATTAAACATGCATGCTTGTCAAATAATATGAATCTTTTTATTGTTGCTTTTGTACCTCTAGCATGACATGCTGTTCAAAATATTGAATATTTTAACCTCTAATTGTAAGGGTTTCATTGAAAACTTCCTGATGGTTTTACTACCGTGATCATGTGATGATTCGGATTTACTTAACACAGTGTTTTGGTACCGCCCGAACGATTTTCAAGGAATCCGAACCCGTTCTGTCTGGGACGGAACCTTTTTCAAGTGTGTTTACCGCTGTTCGGTTCCGTTTAAAAAACCTGAAAATAAATCAAAACCCTTGCAAAATATTAACAATTTGCGAAGGGATCATACTAAGACATTAAAAATAATTCAGTTTCTTTCCCAATAGGTGATCACTGTGTTTGGTTGCCCTTCCATACCTGATATTCGTGTACTTTAGAATTCATTAAACATGCATGCTTTTCAAATAATATGGATATTTTTTATTGTTGCTTTTGTACCTCTAGCATGACTTGCTGATTCAATATAGTGGATATTTGTAACATCCAATTATCAGGGTTTCGTCAAAAACTTCCACATAGTTTTACTGCCGTGATCAAGTGATGATTCGGATTTACTCAACACAGTGTTTTGGTACCGCCAAAAAAATTTGCAAGGAATCCGAACCCGTTATGTCCGGGACAGAACCTTTTTTAAGTGTGTCGAACGCTGTTTGGTTCCGTTAAAAGAAAACTGAAAATAAACCTAAACCCGTGCAAAAAAAAAAATTGGGAAGGGATCATACGAAGCTATTAAATAGAATTCAGTTTCTTTCCCAATATGCGAACACTATGTTTGACTCCCCTTCCATATCTGATATTCGTGTGCATTGGAATTCGTTAAACATGCATGCTTGTCAAATAATATGGATATTTTTTTATTGTTTCTTTTGTACCTCCGGCAAGACATGCTGATTCAAAATAGTGGATATTTTTAACCTCCAATTATAAAGATTTGGTCAAAAACTTTATGAGTGTTTTACTGCCGTTATCATGTGATGATTCGGATTTACTAAACACAGTGTTTTGGTACCGCCCGAACGATTTGCAAGGACTCCGAACCCGTTCTGTCCAGGACAGAACCTTTTTCAAGTGTGCCGAAAACCGTTCGGTTCCATTTAAAACCCTGAAAATAAATTTAAACCCTTGCTTAAAATTAACAATTTCCTAAGGGATTATACTAAGCCATTAAAAAGAATTCAGTTTTTTCCCCAATAAGTGATCAATGTGTTTGTTCCCCTTCCATACCTGATATTCGTGTGCTTTGGAATCTATTAAACATGCATGCTTGTCAAATAATATGGATATTTTTGATTGTTGCTTTTGTACCTCTAGCAAGACATGCTGATTCAAAGTAGTGGATATTTTTAAACTCCAATTATAAGGGCTTCGTCAAAAAATTTCTGATGGTTTTACTGCCGTGATCATGGGATGATTCATATTTACTTAACACAGTTTTTGATACCGCCCAAAAGATTTTCAAGAAATCTGAACCCGTTCTGTCTGAGACAGAACATTTTTTAAGTGTGCTGAACGCTGTTCGGTTTTGTTTAAAAAACCTGAAAATAAACCTAAACCTTGCAAAAAAATAACTATTTGCAAAGGGATCATGCTGAGACATTAAAAAAAATTCAGTTTCTTCCCCAATAAGTGATCACTGTGTTTGGTTCCCCATCCATACCTGATATTCATGTGCTTTGGAATTCAATAAACATGCATGCTTGTCTAATAATATGAATATTTTTTATTGTTGCTTTTGTACCTCTAGCATGACATGCTAATTCAAAATAGTGAATATTTTTAACCTCCAATTATAAGGGTTTCGTCAAAAACTTCAGGATGGTTTTACTGCCTTGATAAAAACCCTGAAAATAAACCTAAACCTTTGCAAAAAAATAACAATTTGCAAAGGGATTTCAGTTTCTTCTGTGATTGGTTCCCCTTCCATACCCGATATTCGTGTACTTTGGAATTCATTAATCATGCATGCTTATCAAATAATATGGATATTTTTTTATTGTTGCTTTTCTACCCCTAGCATGAGAATCTGATTTAAAATAGTGGATATTTTTAACCTCCAATTATAAGGGTTTCGTCAAAAACTTCCTGATGGTTTTACTGGTTTCACAAAAACCCTGAAAATAAACCTAAACCCTTGAAAAAAATAACAATTTGCAAAGGGATCATACTAAGACATTAAAAAGAGTTCATTTTATTCTCCAATAAGCGATCACTGTGTTTGGTACCCCTTCCATAACTGACATTCATGTGCTTTGGAATTCATTTAATATGCATGCTTGTTAAATATTATAGATATTTTTTATTGTTGGTTTTCTGCCTTTAGCATAACATGCTGTTCAAAATAGTGGATACTTTCAACCTCCAATTATAAGAGTTTTGTTAATACCTTCCTGATGGTTTTATTGCTGTGATCTTCTGATGATTCCGATATATTCAACACAGTGTTTTGGTACCGTCCGAAAGATTTTCAAGGAATTCGAACCCTTTCTGTCTGGGAGGGAACCTTTTTCAAGTGTGCCGAAATCTGTTTGGTTCCGTTTAAAAAACTTGAAAATAAACCTAAACCCTTGCAAAAAGTTAACAATTTGCGAAGGTATCATACTAAGACATTAAAAAGAATTCAGTTTCATCCCCAATAAGAAATCACTGTGTTTGGTTCCTAATATGATCCTCAAAGGTTAAGGCTCGTTTTGGTGGATGATGGAGGCTGAAAACTGGACTAAAGTCACTCTCTTTCAACCGGTCGGATGGAGGATGATCGAAGTGGAAAGATGGCGCCTGTTCAAGGGACTAAAGTCACTCCTTTAGAAGGCTGGTATGATGATGATGAGTAGAAGGTGGATCGATGGTCGCCACAAAGCCTTATGGAAGGAGGCAATGATGAGACAAAGTTAAACTGGGAAGAAATCACAAATGCCTAGAAAAACTGGAGAAGAGAGAACTCTTAAGAAAATGTTTGATCTTTATTGATTGTGTGAAAAATACAAGGCTGTTAGGGGACTTTATATAGAGTCCAAACAGCTATGCCCTTCTAGGGGTCTTTGAAGCAAATTACAATATATGCAACTAAATTAAAGGGATTGAAAATGGCTAACAATTGCCTTATCTAATGGAAATTGATAATTAAGAATAAATGCAAGGAAATCAAGGCAAAACAAAGAAAGTTAGTCAAACAATATAATGAATTCAGTCTTACCTTGAACTGATTTGTAAGAATTCGTTTGACTTGCTGGAGGGGATGAACCTGGACGCCTTTAGGTTGGGAGAATGGTGAATAAGGAGACTTCATGCCCATACTTTATAAGTGGTTATTCTTCCATGTATTTTCTTGGACCGTCCTTCATGAAATAATCCTCTTCTTGATATAATTTGGCTTGCACCTCGGTTTAACCTTGATCGTGGAAAATGGTCAACTTCGTCAGCTGCTCGGTTATGTCTCAAACCTCTTGATCAGCAAGAAGTGTCTCTACAGCTTGGTTGAAGTTCTCCCTTAGCCTCTTAGCTCCTGCTCTAGTCAAGGGTGGGACGTTCATAGCTGGAACATGGATGGTTGACGGAATGCTGGTACTTGGGATCACATCATCCTCTCCCTCTTGTAAAGGTTCTGTCCTCAGAACTGTTTCATCTGCATTATAAGGAGATAAGTCAGATGCATTAAAGGTTGTGGAAATGTTAAACCCACCTAGAAGATGAATGTGGTAGGCGTTGTCATTGATCTTTTTAACCACTTTGAATGGTCCGTCTCCTCTGGGTGCTAGCTTGGACTTCCTTTGGTGTGGAAACCTTTCGGTTCTCATGTGTAGCCAGACCCAATCTCCTGGTGCAAAGCTAACTTCCTTACGACCCTTGTTCACACGTTTTGTGGTCTGCTCGTTTCTCTTCTCCATGTGCTCCTTCACCTTTTGGTGTAGCTTCTTAACAAACTCGGCCTTGGCTTCAGCGTCTTGGCTGGTTTGTTCCTTATGTGGTAGTGGCACGGAATCCAAAGGAGTGCTAGGCTTAAAACCGTACACAAGCTCAAAAGGGGAGAATTTAGTAGTAGTGTGTGGTGTGCGGTTATAAGCAAGTTCAATGAAAAGAAGACACTCAAGCCAATTTCGTAAGTTGTTACCGACTGTGGCCCTTAAGAGGGTGGATAGTGTGCAGTTCACGACTTCAGTCTGTCCATCCGTTTGGGGGTGACAAGTGGTAGAAAAGAGAAGCTTAGTCCCAAGCTTTCTCCATAAAGTCTTCCAGAAGTGGCTTAGGAACTTGGTGTCCCAGTCTGAGACGATAGTCCTTGGCAATCCGTGAATTCTGACAATTTCCCTGAAGAACAGATCAGCAATCTGGGTTGCATTGTTGGTCTTGTTGCAAGGAATGAAGTGTGCCATCTTGGAGAAACGGTCTACTCCCACAAATATGGAGTCCTTGTCTCTTATCTTAGGCAGTCCTAAAATAAAATCCATAGACACATCCACACAAGGTAGGTTAGGAATTGGTAAGGGAATATAAAGTCCATGAGGGTCCAACCTGGATTTTTCCTTTAGGCAGATGATACATTTGGAGCAGAATCGTTCCACATCTCTTTTCAGATGCGGCCAGTAGAAGTGCTCATCGACAATGCATTTGGTCTTTTGCACTCCAAATTGTCCCATAAGTTCTCCTCCATGGGCCTCCCTAAGAATCAACTCTCGCATTGAACTCTGCGGAATGCATAATCTTTTGTCCCTGAAAAGAAACCCATCAAGTTTATAGTGAGGACCAATATCACCTTTTGTACACTGCTGGTAGAGCTCTCCAAAGTGTGGATCGTTGTCATATAACTCCTTGAGATGCTCAAAACCCATGATCTTGGCCTCCATGGTGGAAATCAGGGCATGCCTCCAGGATAAGGCATCAGCTACAATATTCTCCTTGCCCTTCTCGTACTTAATCACATAGGGGAAGGTCTCC